CTGTAAATGATAAATCCCTACCCAGTCAGTCCTTAGATTTAGGTCAGGCCAGTTAATCACAGGTGTTTTGGGCTTTTTTTAAGATTCATTTTTACTTATTTTTGCATACAAAGAACTGAGGTGTAGGCCAGAGGTGGGTGGAGAAGGGGTAAGGCGAGGTAAGAGGATTCACCAGAGACAGATTGGAGAGCAGAATAGGAAGAATGACTGAAATAGAGAGTTGAGGGGAGCAGTGGGCAGATGAGAGGTCCACTGTGCCATGTGAGTTACCTCCCTGGCCAGGGACTGAACTCATGCCAAAGTGGCTGATATAGCTTAACAGCGCTGAGACTTCAACCCCTGTGTGACCAGGGAGGACCCCCTGCCCCCCACTTAATCATGTTAAGGAAAAGAACAAATTAGAAAATATGCATGTTGGGCTGATCTAGGCATTTACATTACTTTAAAAATAAAATTCCTTAAAAAAAATAAAAAAAAAAATAAAATTCCTTTTTGTAATCTATACAGTTTGCCTATGGTATTTCTGTGCTTTAATACTGGCTTGTTAAACATATTGAGGATTCATATTCACCTAAATATATATATAATATATATACACACACATATGGATGTAACATGTAGTGTATATATATATATATATTACACACACACATACACTATATATGTGTGTGTGTGTATATATATATATATATATATATATATATATCAACCAAAAAGATGTGATGTAAGCATATTTATTGATATGAAGTTTGTGGGGAAAAAACGCAGCAATATTTTACTGTATGACCCCATTTTTATAAAAAGAAAATATGTATTACATGTAAGTACACATTCTTTGGAGACACATACATCAGCACCCTAAAAGAAATTATCTCTGGGTAATGGGATTAAATTTATATGCATTGGCCCTCCCTGGTGGCGCAGCGGGTTAAAGCACTGCACTGAGAAGCTAAAGCCACTTCCGCATGAGTTCAATTCCCGCCCGCCCCGGAGGTGACCACATGGTGTGGCAGACCTCTCCTGACCCACCCGCTGCTCCCCTCAGCAGTGTACTTCCGTCGACCTGCCTGTTCTGCTCCCCACTCTGTCTCTGGTGAAGCCTCTCACCGCCCCTGAGCCTCTGGCCTGTACCCCAGTTCTGTATGCATAAATAAATAAATCTTTAAAAAAAAAAATTTATATGCATTGTTTTCTTCTCTACCTTTCTTCATTATATCACAGACTCAGATATAGGTCTACTGGCCTGACCTAAATCTAAGGACTGACAGGATAGATTGAGATTTATCATTTACAGTATTTCTAGTACTTTTTGGTTTTTGACTTGATTTACATTACTCTTTCCATTTACATAAAAAATTGTTTTAGTGTTCTAGAGTAAAATTCATGATCGATGTATTTGCATTCAGCATCCATTCCAACTTCCTCCTGGAGTGCCTTCCTATAACAGCAGACAGCTAAAAACTAATTCCCCTTGCAGAAAAGCTAATGTAAGATTTATATGTTGTTTTAGTTTTTCTACTGACACACTTAGCTCTGAGAAGTTGAATTTTTCTGCATGCCCGTGTATAGTCACCAGATAGCCATAGCAAGTTCCTTACTCTTAGGACACAACTTGCTAGAATGTTAATACCAAATCCAAACTCAAGGCCACTCCTCTAAACCTTCCAATTACTTTGTAAGGAATGAAATAGTTTGAGATCCTCAGTATTAATCCCCATTTCGCTTACTATAGGTAGAGCGGTTTGTTTCCTGAATAAAGTCTTCAGTAACATCAAATGATAAACTCTATTATCACCAACTTTAAAAATGATTGATATTTTATAAATCAATTTGAAAGGCAAGACTAGAAATCAAAGGCATGTGTATACGCATATATAGGAAAAAAATCACTAAAATACTAATGCCATTGTTTCTGGTGGTAGAACTACGAGTTTTTTAGAACTATTTTTGGGTTAACTTCTTCAAAGCATTTTTTTTTCTTCAAAGCATTTTTTAAGGGGAAAACTTAAAAGCTATTTCTTTTTTCATCAAACAAAAGAAACAAAGTCCTCTTAGAGACAAAGTAATTTTTGGATCTTCTAAGCAAGAAGGATTAACTAAAGGTATTAATCTGCATGTAACACCATACTACACACAAAAGTGTGCATCAAAGTCTAAATAGGGGAGCAATCCCCATGGTTCACGTTCTCTGAACAAATATTTGTCTATTCTAGTAGCATAGCCAAGCAGACTGCTTGCTGCTAGAAAAAGGGCAGCTATCTTGGGAACTAAACATATGAGGTAAAAACTGGCCAGCACCACAGCTGTTGGCCGGCTTTTTGTTTATAATAGCAAAAAGTATCCCTTAGAATTGGCTAGCTATTTTAAAAGGCATAAAACAGAGGTGCCTCCTACTAAACAATCATTAAATGAGATTTTAGAAAAGGATAAAAGTGAAACAGGTAAAGGAAACTTTCTTTTAAATAGTCCCATCCACATAATGAACATGTACAGGTTTCAGGGCTGCTCAATGCTTCCATTTTCTCTATTCACTAGATGCCTTTCTTCCGACCCACATAAAGACAAGTCATGCATCTTTGATCACTGGTTGCAAATATCATGAAAGGTCGCAATGTATTTAACCATCAAAGATGCAGATAAAGTAAATCATTCATAGAAGGCATCTTATTAGGTTTAGATTAATAAGAACAAATCCTTTTACCCATATATCAGTTAACATGGTAGCTTTATAAGGCTATTTTTCAGATGTCATTTGATAGTACTTACTCTTGTTAAAAATGCTTTTGAGGGCCCTCCCTGGTGGCGCAGCGAGTTAAAGTACAGCACTAAGAAGCTTAAGCCACTTCTGCATGAGTTCGATCCCTGCCTGCCCTGGAGGTGATCCACATGGCGTGGCAGACCTCTCCTGACCCATCCTCAGCAGTGTACTTCGTCAATCTGCCTGTTCTGCTCCCCGCTCTGTCTCTGGTGAATCCTCTCACCCTCCACATCTCTGGCCTGTACCCCAGTTCTGTATGAATAAATAAATCTTTTTTTTTTAATGCTTTTTAATGGCACATTTTTAATTTTGATGAATCCTAATTTTGGATTTAAAGTTACTGCTTTCTGAGATCTAGGAAACTTTTGGCTACTCTCAAATTATAAACATGTTCACCTACCTGCTTTCCTCTAAAAAGTTTTATGCTTTACTTATGTTTCAATGTTGGTTTTGTTCTTAGGGGATATTTAGCAATTCTAGCTCCATTTGTTGAAAACTCCCTTTTTGTTGGATTAGTTTTATATCTTTGTAGAAAATCAAGAGAGTATAAATATGAGGATTTGCTTTTCATATTCTATTCCATTGATATATTGAACTTCAATTACTGTCAGTCTCATACTGTCTTAAATAACTTGGCCACCACTTATGTTATTCCTTGTGCTGTTTATAAAATTTAATAAATCAAGCTGAAATAAATTAATGGAACCAAGATGAGTTTAAAATAACCCTTAAGACCGGACTCTTAAAAACTGTATTTGAGGCCCTCCCTGGTGGTGCAGTGGGTTAAGAAGCTTGAGCCACTTCAACATGAGTTCCATCCCTGCTCCGGAGTGACCCACATGGCGCAGCAGACCTCTCCTGACCCACCCACTGCTCCCCTCAGCAGGTACTTCTTCAATCAGCCTGCTCTGCTCCCCACTTTGTCTCTGGTGAATCCTCTCACTGCCCCTGCACTTCTGGTATGTACCCACGTTCTATATGCACAAATAAATAAATCTTTTAAAAAAGAACTGTATTTGAAATTACTCTACAGTTACTATTATACACCAAGTAAAAGATATTTACCCACAAAAAAATGAAAAACTACAAATTCTCCATTATTTTAAAAACTGAATTATGGGTAAAAAATATTTTGTTATATTTTCTACTCAGTTCCCACCAGGCTTTCTCATATTAGTGATTTAATAATACTCCAAAATAGTAAACTTAAGAACAATCCATAAAAATATCCTTATTTTTAAGTTAAAATATGAGTACACAAGTCACCTCACATGTTTAAACTCTCTCATAACAAAATGTTAAAATGTCATTTGTCAATCTCAGAAATGTGCCTATTAAAGAAAAAGGTAGATTGCTTCTTTTCTTTATAAAAAGGTGTTTTTATAAAATATCCTTTAAAGTTTAACTTGGAGAAAAGGATTAGCAACAAGATTATTTCATAATAAAAACACAGCAACTCTCCAAGGTCATTTAAAAAAAAAAAACTTCATTTTAGTACATAGCACTTAGAAAATCTGGGTTCTATTAATGTCACAGAAGGCTCCTCCACTACCACCATCACCCTGGGTTCTATTAATGTCACAGAAGGCTCCTCCACTACCACCATCACTCTTTTTTTTTTTTTTAAAGCAAATAACATTAATTGTCAAACCTCCAGTTTTTATGAAGGTATAATTTAAAGAGCTTGAAAAGGTGTTGGCAAACTGAAACACGAAAAATCTTTAAGATTTATAATTTGTACTTAACCCAAAATTTTGCTTTGAGGTATAGTATACCTTTCTGAAATAATTCTATAATACATAATTAAAAACCCCAAACACTTAAAGTTTGCTAAAGTAAAATTAAGATGTTTATTGCTTTTCCTACTGTCAGCAATGCAAATCACTAAACACTGACTTTTGTCCTTTTCAAATGATCTGCATTAAATTGTACTTTTCAAGTAATTGGTATAGGCAAAAAAATTCAACATTACAATCCTTAAAATATTTAGATATCAAAGACAAAAATAGTGATATTTTTCATTAATGATGAGAAGAAACAAGAGCACATTTACTCAAGATCTGATATTTATAAAGCTTGAGCAATTAAATGAGCTAAGAGATTGAAAGATTAATTACAACAATTACAGGTAGAGAACATCATTTGTGCACTTTCTAGGTTTATTACAGTAGTGAGTGATATATCCGGAGAAACAACAGGAGTTCTCAGATCCGAAGTTTAATAATAGAATTTGGGGAAACACTCACTCTCGACATCACTTTTATTTAATATGCACTACATGCACATGATGCAGGTATGGAAAACATTTATGTATCCATGCATTAAAGACAAGACAGACAGGTACTATTGCCAAACGTGCAGTCAATTAGGATGTTTCTCAAAGTTCTTTATACTTAATGGTTTCCATGAAAATAAGTGCAGAAGCAGAAATTTTCGGAGTATTTTCTTCATTTGGTTTCCTGTGCTTTCTTTGCATTCTGTTTTTCTTTTGCCTAGAAATTAAAGATAGTATGCTATAAAATCTTAGAAGTTTCTTCTAGATCATATTAAAATAAAATGTATGCAAAAAAATCAAGCATGAATAAAAAGTGTAAAGGAAAAATAATAAAACCAAATGTGCCTAAAAGGCAATCCTTAGGTTAAAAGGCTTAAAATGCACTATTGAGAAGATTTTTAGAGCTTTATCTTTTGTAACCTGAGACATACAACAAACTCCTGTGCAGCTATATCCTTTGTCTTCAATAAAAAAGGTTTATAGTTTTCTTAAGTTGAAATATAATTGTAATAATTTTAAAAATAGTTACTCATTAATCATATCCATTTACAAGTATTTCAAAATTATTTACATGTATCACAATTCTCATTCAAATTAAGTGTAAAAAACCATATTAGTTTCTGCATATTTACGTAAGTAAGTTACATAAGAGTTTTAATGAGTTTAACATATACCACCAAAGGATTACACACACAGGCTGGTGATAAACCTTACTTATAACACCTAAAAAATGTTTCCACGCTATTTCATCTGATCCTCATCACAATAATATATCGATAGTTGAATACAGTAATTCTATTTCTTTATCTTTTATATATATCTTCTATTTCTTTTATATTTATCTAGCTGATGGAGCAGCCAAAACTTATAGATATTATCAAATTTGGCCAAAGTCACACAGCATGTGTGTCACACTACACATATTCTACAGCAGTGCTTCTCGTCATACATACCAATAACGTGGAGACCTTTAAAAAGCATATTGTGCTGCCAATTCTGCTTGTCATTATTTGAGAAGCAAGATTTCAAAGTACTAGAATATAATGTTCCTTCCTCTAAGCCACTTGAATTTCAGAGGAATGATTAAATTATGCTTTTGCTATTAGGTGACTTTTTAAATCCTCATTTAAAAAAATAGGGTAATCAGAACAGCTATTACTTTTTATATTGCATTACATAATATAATTATTGCACAGCCAATGGATGCCTTAGACTGTTAAGTATAAATGTTACATGTAACATAAAAAACTAATTACCTACATGAACATTTTTTAATGAACAATCTATGATTTGATATGTAATGTGTTTTTCATACTAATTGTTTCCAATTATAAAATACAACTACATCTTAGGGAATGAAGTAAAAGTATGTACTGTCCTTATTCATCTCTAAATATACTAACAAATATTAAGTAGTATTAACAAGAATGAATTAATGAATTTATGCTTTATGGAGTGAAATTTACAACATAATTAAATGAGCAAAGACATACATTTCATAATTCAGAAAAAATTATGAGGAAATTAATAGGTTAAAAATAATTACCCCCATTTATTGAGCAGTTATATACTTTATAGATGCATTCTATAGCCTTTAGAAATATGAAATAGGTAGAATACCCAATTTACAAATAAGGAAAATGTATTATAATACAGCAAATAAGTTCCCTGAAAGTATGAACTAGTAAGTAATATCTGAGATTTAAATCCAAAGTCTATAGACTGTTCTGCTTTTGTAAAAAATAAAAAACACAACATATATCTAATAGTGTGGGGAAAATGTACATGGTTAAGGAAAGAAATACTGTCCACCAGTGGCTGGTTCAAGTCAGGTAATTTTAAAGTCAGCTTAACCATTCTTCTACCTTTCTTCCATTAAAGTTTAGAAAAAGTGAGTTCAAGAAGATTATTTATTAACAACTGAATTACAATGTCCTAGAGTAAAATGTGGACAGAATTCAATACTGTCTAATTGTTTTGAGTTCCCCACAACAACTGAATATATGATTTTACATTACAGTATTATACTAATGGCTGTTAAAAACTTGGGACAGATAATGACTCAATTACATATAAAAGTTGAATTCTACGTAATTTTCTCGTATTACTATTAATAATTATCACTATTAAAGTCTATACAGTGCTTATAATTTTAAAATCTAATCTTAAACTACTGGAACTTTTGTCTCAACATTTTTGTGTTTCAGCAGAAAGTGCCATTTCAAAAAAGATACTATAGTTACTTTTTTAATAAAATGAAGAAAATACATTTGTGCTAAGGAAGTTGATTTACTGATAGAAAAATTAAGTATTTAATTCTAATTGCAGATGTAAAGTTTTGTGAATATGAACTTTAAAGAAGCTACACAGTCATTTGGGAGGTTGCCTGTGATCCTGCAGGATCTTCAGCATTTACTCAGCACAGTATTATAACTGTTTATTTCTTTCTCCAACTATAATGTGAGTTTCTTAAACGAATAGTATGTCTTAATTATGCATATATCCATAGACTTTAAGAATGCCTTGAAATTAGTTGTTTGATGAATAATTAAAACATTTCAATATTTCCATAGAAATAATAAATCCGCGTTCACTTCAGAATATAGGGGAGTAACAGATAATGCATATAATTGGAGATAAGTGTATCTCAAATGTTTATGAAATATTACTAATTAAAGAACAGTTTGGAGAAATAGGCAGGTAGAAAGTTGGTAACAGTTGCCTCAATAAAAAAAATGCAAACACAAGGCCCAGTCTGTGTTCTACTAACCACTAAGTATTCATATACTGCCACCTTGTGTTCAAAGAAATGTAAACTGAGAAATTATGAAAAGCTGTTCTCTAAACTTTAGAAAAATCTGAGGTTACAGTACCAATAAATCAAACAAGAATAGTAATTTTCCTAACTTGCGCAAAAATTATATTTACAGATCAATAGTAAATTAAGATGTACATTTAAAATTTCTGGAATAACAATTTATTTGGCTCCTAATCATATTTTACCTATATCTAAAATCTGATATCAAATATCATGACTTCGTACAACAGTTTATATTATTATTTTAATATTGTTAACAGACCAATATATTGTACGGTTTCATACAAAGAACATAATATACAGGTATACTGTTAATAGATCAATTCTGAGGCTCAGAAGACTCTACTTGTTTCTCTGTAACTTTAAAAATCAGTATCCCACCTTAAATTTTTATAACTTTAATACGCTGAGATACATACATAGAAAAATATGTTTTTTATTACAGTTTTCTGTAATAATTTTTACATTTGATGCTAAAAATCAAAATATACATTTCTGGATGAAGGTGATAAAGTCTACACAAAATACTTAAGTACACTTCATATTATTTGGAACTTATAATGGTATAAAACAGTGGGTTAAAATGTATTTCTACTTCATAAATTTTAAAATTAGTAAGAGAAATATCATGCATTCTGATTTTTAAGTTAATGGTCCAAAATTTAATCTGCCTGCTAGCAGTCTTCCCCAAATGTTTCTCAAAATGTGGTAAGGACCACATGCATTATCACTTTGGAACATTTTCATTAAAAATTTCTTCCCTTATATCAGAATATCAGCAGAGGAACCAAGTAACATGTATTTTAAAGAGAATGATCACTTTCAGAAACACTAAATTGGATTTAATTATTTTACTAAGTGTATTACATGTTTTGCTAAAGAGAAAAACCTCGGAAATCAGAATTTTTCACTAACCTATATTAACTTGTATCAGTTCAGTTCAATAAGAAAACCAATCTCTAGTTCTAAATTCTAAGATATTATAAGGAGGAAATCTGTAATTTCAATTATAAACATTAAAACTTTATTTTAATAAAGTCCTCGGCTTAAGGAAGTATTTTTAATACTATGCATACATAATAATAGCACAATATTCTAGAAGGTTAATATAATGGGGAAACCCTTTCTTTTACTTCATAAAATCAAGTGAAATTACACAATACGATAAAAGCAAAAACATAAAACTAAAAGTCTCAACAACTTTTACCTTTACTCAAACCAAACCAAAATTTGTTTTGGGGTATTCAAAGCCTAATTTAAGTGTTCACCAATAAAATACTTACCTTTTCTACTAGTGGTATTAACTGCTGGTGTTCTGCTAAAGTCTTTAACAATTCCATAATGAAGGGGAGATAATTATGCTTCCTTCTTATATTTTCAATCTGAAAAATAAAACAAATATCAAACCGTACTAACTTTATATCTCTACTAAAAGTTTATGACAGTTCAATTTTTGCATCCAACCAAATAGAAATAGTAGAAAATCCTAGATTTTCATTATGAAAAATATTAGAAATAGATTTCGTTGCCACTGACAATAAAGACTAATACAATAAAACATGTGCCAAGAAAACCTTGGACATGCTTCTGACTCTTAGCTTAGCAAATGAAAGACACTTTTAAAAACCTCTTTGGGGATTACTTCTGAAAATTAAGACAACAAGCTTAAGGAGGCCCGTATAATAAGTTAATATTCTTACTACTACTTCTAATACAAATAATGAGACCAGTTTCATTTTGTAATCATGAATAATCATTCCTCAAACTATTTCTGATCAAAAGTCTGCAGGGGGAAAATCTGAGCATCAGTGGAAAACTGTGCTGTCTGGTGCAAACTGGTCCCAGTTGCATGATCCTAGACTTTTACTGCCTCCGAGCTATTAATATTCTGTTGGGTAAATCTTCAGTACTACCTTTCTACTGAAAAAAACATTTCTGGCTTTTGTAAATTCATTTCAACATTCTTTTAGTTCATATAAATTTGAAAGTCTCTGACGTCTCTAAACTAGTTATGACCTTACAGTTTCCTTCAATCAATTAATTCAATGAAATTTTCAACATGTTCATTCTATACCGCTGATAAGAATCATTTAACTTTTTTTTTTTTTTAAGATTTATTTATTTATGCATACAGAACTGGGGTACAGGCCAGAGGTGCAGGGGCTGCGAGAGGCTTCACCAGAGACAGAGTGGGGAGCAGAACAGAAAGATGGATGAAGTACACTGCTGAGGGGAGCAGCAATGGGGTCAGGAGAGGTCTGCCACGCCATTTGGTCTCCTCTCGGGCAGGTGGGAATTGAACTCTTGGGAAGTGGCTTTAGCTTCTCAGTGCTGTGCTTTAACCCACTGCGCCACCAGGTAGAGCCAGAATCATTTAACATTTTTGGGTGAAAGCATTCTTAAAAAATGTAACAGGTAAGGATCCTGAATGAGTACTTTATTCAGACAAATATTTAAAGTTAATTATGAAATAACTCCAAATAAAAATGTATTAAAAATGCAGTTATTGCTTTATAGCACATGAAATGTAAGATAAATATTCAAGTTTTTATGGAGACATCCTGTTTCCATAAATTCATCTCTATATATTCCTGAATACCCAGGCGCCAGCACCTATCACCAGCACCTAGAGAAATCCTACTAAATCAAAGTCCATTCATTTCATTTAACAATTACTTGTTAGCTGTCAACTAACAGCAGACACTGTAATGAACAGAAAAAAAAAAAGCAATCTTTGCTTTCAACTGAGATGTTTTTCTACTGTGAGATACATGGAAAACGACATCAATACCATAGCGAAAGTCATCTAAAATTCAAATTTCCTTCCAACTTTTGGTTCTTTCTGAGAAATGTTTATCAAAAAAGATTACAAGAGAAAGACATTACTAGAAATAGCTGCTTTGGATTTCATTCTGAATTATAGAAATGCTTGAAAAATTTAGTGAAACAAAAAATTTAAGAAATAAATTATTTTAAAAATGGAAGGCAAAATAAAATATATGGATCCAACTGTATAAGTACCTAATTGGTGACACAACCATAGTGAGATTTTTTTTTTAACTTATATTTAAAGACATAGTAATTTGGTTGTACATCTAAAGTAGGATACAGCTTAATAAAAAAATTAAGAAAAGCTTTTCAGTTTTTATTAAAACTAGTAATTTACAGACATGTGAGTATAAATACACACATAATCACTGCACATATGTGTATACACACATACGTATACCTACACGTGCACAATGTGTGCACATGCACACACTATACATATATAACATGAAGCAAGTAATCATATTAATGTTGTCAGACACCAAGATTTTCAGTTGAAAAGATATAAACTCATAAAACGTAAAACCCTTCAATCCTAATTTGAGTATTAATATGAGTGTACACTGTATTTTCCCTTAAAAAAATAAAACAAGAATATATTTCTTAGTTCTGAAAAGGCCTAGAAATAGGGACCAATAAGCAGCACTGGCACCCCAAGCACCCAGACAGTGGTTTCTGAGTAACAATCCCTAGGGTCTTCCAGAAAAACTGACTTCCAAGTCTAGAAGTAGGAAATGTATAAGGTGAGCCTGGAACATCTTGTCATACTAGAAAACAAGAAATCTTATCAGGGATGAAGAGGCTCATATAAAGAGGGCTAGGACACAGCCTGAAATGCCTCCTAATATCAAAGGTTAAGTAAGTTGAGCATTAACAAAACCTACAACAAACCAAAGCACCAAATATGGTAAAATCTGGCAGTAGCTCTCCTGCGGCCTGTGACCATGTAGGTATCTCTCCCTCTAAGCCTGCCTGTGTCTATGCAGAGCACTTTTTCAGCAAACCTGTCTCTTTCAGGGGCAGCTTTCTGCCCAAGCATCGTTTACTTCCCTTTTTTTATAATAAACCCGCCCTCTTGCGTATATTAAAAAACAAACACTGTTCACATGAAATATTAAAAAAAAAACCCTCGTCTTACTTTTGAAGGGTGACAGAGAATCAAGTCACTATTCTAAAAATTACTAAATGATGGGGGAAACACAATCCAGTATTCAATATGTATTCACATCAAAATACACCACTCTATATTAAGACATTGAAAGCATAAATTAAAAAAAAAAACATACCTTATATCTTTTTAATTTCTGTACTTCTTCTTCAATAAGCATCTGATTTTTGGCAACTTCTGACTGAATAGCACTTAACATATTACTACCCTGATCTGTATCCATGGGTTCCTCCTTGGGGGAAAGAAAAAGAAAGTACATCCTAATGATTGAGGCTTAAGTCCTGAATATTTTAAAATGATAAACATATTGCAATTATTTTCAAATTTTACTATTACTATTGATGACAGAATACTGACCTGATAACGATAATATTAAGAGAGCTTTAAGTAGTATCTTTTATATATCTATTGTTCTACAAAAATATATTTGAATTTTCACCTAAAAACAATCTATACTGTATTATACTGCTCTACTATGATCTCCAATTCCTTTATAAAATACACTTTTATTCAGCTTAAATATATAGCTTAGTAAATGTGATCAAAGAGTATATAAAAAAGATGTTTCTATTTCATTATCTTCTGCAATCCTATTTACTACAGAAAGATAACCAACCATAAAGCCTAGTAAAGACTACATGTAATCCTAAACATACCCAATATATTATGTGAGAAATATAACTTGTTTAACTATATAATAAAAAGCTAATTGTTAGCACATTTTTAGCACAAACTATAAGTCACTGTTTTAAATGGTTTGCATATATATTCTTAATCCTCACAACCACTTTATAAGATAAATACCATTATCTTCATTTTTGCATAAAAAAAACTAAGGCACAAAGAAGTAAGGCCAAATTCATATACTCACTAAGTAGCAAAGCTAGAATTTGAATCTAAGCAACCCAAATCCAGAGTATAGTCCATTAATGATTACTCAGGACAACTGATTAAAGGTGCATTTTTTAAAAATAGAAGGGAGGAAAAAAAGGAAGAAAAGGGGGTTGGAGAAAGTAAGGAAGGAGAAGAGGGGGAAGGAGGTAAATATTCTCCCTAAGAGAATAACCAAACTACAACTTTGTATGTTAAAAACAGAGACAAACCTCTGCAAGTTGTCTTTGTAACTCTGCTATCTTCTGCTCATATATCATTTTTCGGTCTGACACAATAGCCATTAAATTAAATCGAATTTCACCTTCACTGTACCTAAAAACAAAAGTTATTTTAAAGTTTACTTAAACAAAAGTGTACAAAGAATTGTAATACTATTATAATTAATAAAATAACCAAGTGTGTTTATCTCATGACTCTCTGGGGTAAACACAAACCTGTCAGCTGGCTAACATAAAAACCAACATTAAAAAAAATCTTTGTAAGTGAAAGAGTAACTATAGCTACAAAAAACTGACTACAGTTCATCAACCAAATACATTTTTTATTCTGAAACAGCACTATTACCTCCTAAACATTTAAAATAACAAATATTTTCATTAATTACCTTATTTTCACAAGAAAGACAGCAAATGCCGTTCACTTAATATCTCAGAAAAATAAGATCACATATTTATTGGCTTAATTATACTGGTAATTTGACGGGTAATTAACTATATTTCTAACCTTAAACTTTTTTCCAAGTCATGACCTACTTCCTAATTTTGAATTAACATACATTTCGAGATTTCACTTATATTTATTATAAATATATAAAATATTACATAATATTTTATTAATATAATTATATCCTTTTATAAAACTTCTCAAAGCTGTTTTATTTATAATAATATGATTAAGTGAGTGAATAACTTACAGGAAAAAAAGAAACAAACAAAAAACAGACCAAAGAGAAACAAATTAAATGGCAGACAAACTATAACATACCAATAATCACATGTTAGATGTACACTTAATTTTATTACACACTGTGTAATTGTTCTTAGCATGCCAAATAAAAGAGAGATTAGCAGAGTGAACTAACAGACAATATATACTGCCTACAAGAAGCTCACATCAAATAAAATGAAATAGGTTAAAAAAGGGATGGAGGCCCTCCCTGGTGGCGCAGCGGGTTAAAGCACTGCACTAAGAAGCTAAAGCCACTTCCGCATGAGTTCGATCCCCGCCTGCCCCCGAGGTGACCACATGGCGTGGCAGACCTCTCCTGACCTGCCTGCTGCTCCCCTCAGAAGTGTGCTTCATCGATCTGCCTGTTCTGCTCCCCACTCTGTCTCTGGTGAATCCTATCACCCTCCACATCTCTGGCCTGTACCCCAGTTCTGTATGAATAAATAAATAAATCTTTTTTAAAAAAAAAAGGGATGGAAAATATGTATCATGTATATAATACACAAAAGAAAGCAGCTGTGGCTATATTAATTAGATAAAAGGAAATATAGCAAAGAATATCACACAGAGGAACATTACACAATGATTAAAAAAAAAGTAAAAACAGAAATCATAAAAGCTTATGCACCAAAAGAACTGCAAAACATGTAAAGCAAAAACTGATAAACTGGAACTAGAAATAGACAAATCAAAAACTGTCCCTATTTGAAAATGACACGATTATCTATGTTGAAAATGCCAAGGAATTAATGAAAATCATCTAAAGTTGGTAGGTGGGTTCAGCAAAATCAAAGGATGTAAGTAAAAAATCAACAATATTTGTAAAAGCAATGTTCAACTGCAAAATCAAAAATACAATATCATTTGTAATTATTGAAAAGGGTATGACATGCTTGGGTGTAAATCTGATAAAACATGTATCGTACTTGTATGAGGGACTATTACAAAATAATTATGAAACAAACTAGAAAAGATCAAAGGAAATGCAGTGACACTGTTTGTGGATTGGAAGACTATAGTTAAGAGGCCAATTCTTCTCAAACTGGTACATGTGTTATAATTCCTACAAATCACATAAGTATTTGTGGAGATATAGGTAAGAGTATTACTAAAATTTATATGGGAAGGCAAAGAATCTAGAACAGTTGAACAATTTTGAAGAAAATGATAAGGGGAGTGATCAGTCTACCTGATACTAAACCTGGTAGTTACAATAATCAGCACTGTAGCACTGACAAAGGGCGAACAAAAGATCAGAGAAACAGAACTGTGAAGTCAGAAAAAAACTTCACAACTGGTTTTTTACAGAAGCAATTTAATGGAGGAAGGGCATGTCTCTTCAATAAATGGTGCTATCAGACATACATAGTTAAAGAGACAAGGCTTAACTCCACAAGAATTAACTCAAAATAAACCACAGACAAATATAAAAATGTTAAATTGTAAATCCTGTAAGAAAAAGACAGGAGAAAATCTTTGTGACCTACGATATTAAAGAAATGAGGATTAAACCTACAATGAAATCATTATACACCTATCAGAATGACTAAAATAAAAACTATGACCAAAACAAAAGCTATCAAGAAGATGGAGAAACCAACTCATTGCCAGTTGAGATATAAAATGATATAGCTACTCTGGAAAAAAGCCTAGCATGTTCTTAAAAAATTAAAAATGCCTGTTATTATCCAGCCCTGCAATGCACTTCCTGGCATTTATCCTAAAGAAATACTTATTTTCACACAAATATTTATTGCAGTTTTATTCAAAATGGTCGAGAACAATCCAGATGTCTTTCAATGGGTGAATGGGCAAAACACATTCTATCCATAACTAGAATACCACACATTAATTATATAAAAGAATGAACTGCTGATACACTTAAAAACCTGGATGAATGGCCAGAAGATTATGCTGTGTTCAAAAAAGCCAATCCATAACATTTACATATAACATGATTCCACTTATACAACATTCTTTAAATGACAAAATTTACAGATTTAGGGATTCACAATGACTAGCTGGGAAGCAGAGTGTGCAGAGAGAAGGGATGGTAGCAAGCATGGAAATGGTCATGCCTATAAGAGTAACTAGGACCTCTTGTGTGATTGAGTTATTCTGTATCTTGACTGTATTAATAACAATATACTAGATATGATATTGCACTACAGATTTTTAAGATGATATCATTGTGGGGTAAAGTATTTAGAGATCTCTGCTTTATTTCTTACAACTAAATGTGAATATGCAATTAACTGAACATAGATATATTATAATTTAATTTAAAAGCTGCATTCTCACAACCAAAACATAACTGCAAATCAGTAGGACAAAATAAGTTCATGGAGATCTGTATGTTCAACTTCATTAAAGACAAATAGCCATATTAACATGTAAAATTTATAAAGATTTTCTAAAATAGATTCCCCTACCCCTAATGCACTAATCTCATCACTGGTGTATGTTCAGTAAGCACTGCTAAAACAACAATGTGAAAAGATTTTTTAAATATTAATAAAAACCAGAATGTTATGTCAATGAAGTCAGTGGAGTATTTACTTTTGTATCCTTTTTTCTATGACTGGCCTCACTGCGCTGATCCAGTCATCTTGATTGCATGCTCCTAGAAAGAAATTATCAAATATTTAAATAAAGTAAAACACATATTACTTCAAAAGCCTGGCCCAAAATACCTGAATTAGCAAGGTAGGACAGTAAAAATTCTTTTAGCCTAACTATATTAAGACCTAATTCCTCCATTTCTTAGTAGATGATAAGGGAAAAGCATTATCATAATTTTCACTGCCATATTATTGTGGTACTTAGCAGTAGGTGCTGCACAACTATTTAATGAGTTAGAGGGGTATCTCGCTACCTCATTAAAATTCACAGATCTGTAAGAAAAGGATAACTATCTTGAAACTTTACAAATGATGAAAGTAGGACTAAGAAAAGCCAACTGACATGTTAGTACCAAAATAAGGATTCAACCGTATCTGATTCCCCACAAACCTGGAAAATAAACTAAAAGCGACACAAAATATAAAACAACTTAATACAACTGCTTTCATCCTCTCTTTTCATTTTAAGGCATAACCAGGTATTCATTTCATCCATTACTTTATAGCTGAAGGTTCTAAGGAATAGAGTATGGCAGCCAGATAGAAAGAAAGAAAGAAAATGCAGAAATTGGAAGAACCACCAATATAAAGAAAATCAAATTCTAAGGAATTGAAAGAATATTTTATAAAGAAAAAATATTTTCAAATATAGAGACAGTATGTAAATCTATATTAGACAAACTAGTGGCTGTAAGCATGGGGCCTGGTCAAAAGAGTACAAGGAAAATAAAACTGTAATAAACTTCTTAAATTTAAAAGTACAAAGTTTTTAAGAACAGCAGACAACATTAGATTCAATTAAAACAGCTTTAGTTGGGCTGAAAACAAAACATGAGGTAAAAAGAAGAAATTAACAATTTTTTGTGGGTCTATGATTTCAGTACTCTGTTAGAACCACCAGCAGTATCCTCAGCCTGATAACCATTTCTTTTTTGCTCAATGTTACTGGAGACAGGCTCAAGACAATCTACACTTTGGCACAAAGGGCAACCGCATTTTAAACAAAAATATTTCTGTAGATTATCATAAACACCAAATTAAAATGATTCTAAATGATTTAACTCCAAATGAAAATATCTTAATACAAAAATGATAAAAAAATGCTTACTATCACTTATCAACAGATTAAACATGGCAAGGTAGTAAGTTCATTAAAAGAAATAGTTTTTAAGGATTAACTGGAAAACAGAAAATAAATTATACAATCTATGGATTAAAAGTTTCAGAAAAAATGTAAAGATCTCAAGTGAAAAAGCACCCAACATGTCCTCCCCATATATTATTTAATTTTATCAAGTATTGAAGCTTAAGGCTTTTATAACAGTATACTACCTTTCAGTATACTACCTTTCAGTATACTTCCCCCTTCATAATATATGCAGCACAGAGCTAAAACAAAGGAGAACACGAAACCATTCTTCCATGACAAAGGTGAAATACAAGAAAAAAAGAACTGGATTACCTAAATCAATCGGTCCTTCTCTTAATCCATCTAATTCATACAGTCTTCCATTAACAGGAACATAACTGACAAAGTGAAAAGCATCTTCTTCTTTTGCTGCTGTCTTTGCATCAAATTCAAACATTTGCTGTCTACAGAGAAGGAAAAAAAAACATTAAGAGACAAACAAGCAAAAAAAAGGAACAGTATTTGTTTAACATAAAGTCTTCTTTACCTGGCAAAACTGTTGTGCACCTGTCGAATCACATCTGAATTGCTCAGTGCCAAACCTTTCATCTAAAATAATTTTAAAAGTAACCTATTAAAATAAGAACTACCATATATAAAACATTTTAGGAATAATGAGACTGTACTCACAGCTGCATCGAAACTTTGTGAAAATTCTTTAAATTCTGATAAGGTCTCTCCTAAATGGACATCTTGATGGGTGCAGTTCAACAACACACTTACTATAGCTTGAGTAGCACAAGCATTATTAATCACCTATAAAATACAAAAGCAAAGCTGTACATTATCAATTTTTTTAAAAGCATGTTTAACTGGTGACAATAATTGCCAAAATATGAATTAAGTAACAGTTCTTATTGTGTTTTATACAGTCTTAGCATAAGCATAATAAACATTTAAATTTCCATTCTATTTTAAGAAATTTACTACTGTTCTGAAGATGATGATTCTAGGAAACCAATCAATTAAATGAACTCATAACATCAGTGAAAATCAATCCTGCTAGAGTAACAATACCAACCTTTTCTGATCTAGTTAATGAAGTCAACAGAGTGTTCATCTTTCTTCACTTCTTCCTAAATTCATTTCCATCTAACCAAATTCAACCCATACTTCAGTATCCAGCACAAGCTCCAACTTCAGAAAAAGTATCCAATAACTCATGAGTTTCTATCCTTATATTTAAATATCTAAAAAGGGTTTATGTTGTTCACGTTATTTCACTTCAACACAGAGTCTTTACAGCACCATCACTGGTTATTGTTTATTAAACAAGTTATGTGCACTTTATTCTCTATTCAGAGGACAAAACATTTAGATAGCATTTACTATATGCCAGGCACTTTTTCTAGGTACTTCACCTGTATTAATTCTTTTAATCCTCTCAAAAAACTACAAAGGAGTAATAATACTACACACGTTTTATTTTTGTGTGAGGCACAAAGAGTAACTTGCCAGAAGATAAAGTAAGTAACCTAGAGACAGAGACTTAATCTGACTCTAGAACTTACGCATTCAGCCACGATACTAAGGCCAGCTTTGTATGTGTATGAGGTCTATCCAACAAGACAAAAATCTATCTATGGATATATTACAATAGGATCTATACTCTATAATCAATTAAGGACCTACATGGTTTGAGATCATAGACTGGAAAGCTCCACCAAGGTAAATTTTGGAGTTTGGCAAAATTTGTTAAATGATGCAAAAATACAACTTAGTCCTATTGCTACATTTTGTTAATATAGTATAACTACCATTTTCTAATTAGTTTTTTCAAAAACATTAGATACCTGATGAATTTACAATTATGGTAAAATATCTGTTTATATTCTGCCTGATTTCAAAAGAAAATTTTTTGATTGTTTTTCCTTTTTGACTCTTATTTTCCCTACCTTTCAAGATCTTGTAACTATCCACCAGTTCTTATACTTTAAACTGTAATATGGTCAGAAATTTTTGGTAAGACTGCTTTCTACTTGAGAAAATACTCTTATTTCCAATATCAAACAAATACAAGGATATCCCCATACTTCTATTTCTTCTTTACAGTACTGAGTACACAACACTGACTTTTTTTTTTTAAGATATATTTTATTTACTTATGCATACAAGTAGTTGGGGTACTGCAGGCCAGAGCTGTCGGGGTGAGAGGATTTACCAGAGACAGAGTGGGGAACAGAACAGATGGATCTACTGCTAAGGGTAGCAGCGGGCAATACAGGGAAGATCTGCTGTGCTATGTGGGTCAGCTCCCTGACAGGGGAAGGAAGTCCTGCTTCAGTGGTTGCTGACTGCTTCATAGTGCTAAGACTTAACCCCTTGCATGACCAGGGGACCCTCAACAACACCTTATGATTGATAAGTCACTGAAAAGTAGCATACTATAATTCAGTTAACATTGCTGTTGATTTCTTTTAACATATATTTTGACCTGAATCACAGTTCTTTTAGTAAATTTAGATTGAAAAGTGGTAATGACTAAAGGAGACTTCATAAAAGGTAGTTTAAACTTTTCAAGACTTGGTACTCCTGTATTCTGGGTCGAAATTATCTGGAGTGAAATCATGTGAGATAGGTCGGAGAAAAGCAGTCAGAAGTTAAAATCTACACTCATTCTTCCAAAAATCATGATATGACATTGATGATACTGTATGTACCCAATGCTAGACTAGCTGCTCAAGTAACAGAGAATATTATCAAACATTCTAATGACTTAAAATCTATATCCATCAATTTAGGCATTTTTTAAAAAGAATTAGAAAAAACTTCCAAACTAATGAAAATTGTATACAATGAATACAGACAGATTTTGTATGTGAATTATACTTCAATTAAGCTGTTTTATTAAAAATGGGGAAGGAAATCCTATGGCTGATAATTCTTTCAATGTTAATGATTTACAACTCATTTTGTGAGTGTGTGAAGAAAACTACTATTGTACTCATGGGTATTAAACAATCTCTTCAAGTTTTAAAGTGAATTTAGCACCACCAAGTGGTTATGTTCTACAGAGCAAAGATTACCAAAAAACAAAAATCTTAAAAAGATCTCTTAATCTTTAAAGACAGAGCACCCAACGCCACAATAGTGAAGGCAAAGATAAATAGATGGGACTACATCAAGTTAAAGAGCTTCTGTACAGCAAAAGAA